ATGTAGGCATACCACATTTTATTGCATGTCACTTTATTGTGATTTGTGAATACTGCATTTTTTGTAAGTTGAAGATTCAAGACTTCAGTGGAGGAAGTAATTGCTAATGTGGTGGAAATAGCAAAAGGACTAGATTTAGAAGTGGAGCCTGAGGATATGACTGAATTGCTGCAATCTCATGATAAAACTTTAACAGATGAGAGGTGCTTCTTATGAATGATCAGAGAAAGTGGTTTCTTGAAATGGAATTTACTTCTGCTGAAGATGCTGTGAAGATTGTTGAAATGACAACAAAGGATTCAGAATATTATAAACTTAGTTGATAAAGCATCAGTAAGGGTTTGAGAGTATTGATTCCAATTTTGAAATAAATTCCACCATGGGTAAAATGCTATCAGATAGCATCACATGCTACAGAGAAATCATTTGTGAAAGGAGGAGTCAATCTATGTGGCAAACTTCACTGTTGCCTTATTTTAAGAAATTGTCATAATCATGCCAACCTTTAGCAACCACCACCCTGAAAAGCAAAAAGATTGGCTTGCTGAAAGCTCAGATGATGGTTAGCATTTTTAAAAAATGAAATATTTTTTAGTTAAGGTATATATATTACTTTCTTTAGACATAATGCTATTGCACACTTGATAGACTACAGTGTAGTGTAAACATACCTTTTATATGCACTAGGAAACCAAAAAATTCATTTGACTTTATTGCAGTATTTGCCTTATTGTGGGTGTTCTGGAACTGAGTCTACAGCATCTCTGACGTACGCCTGTAAAGGTTTTAATTCATGGGGAAAACATGCAATCCTACATATTTATGTGCCTAAGAGACCTTCAAAGTATGGTACATGAAGCAAAACTGATAGAATTGTAAGGAGAAATAGAATAATACACAATTATAGTTGTAGATTTCACTGTCCTCTTTCAAAAACTGGTAGAATGAATAGACAGAAAATAGGTAAAGATACAGAAGATTTGAGCAATTTTGTTAACCACCTTGACCCAAGTGACATTTATAAAATGCTCCATTCTCTATCAGCAGAATATACTTTCTTTTCAAGTGCACACAGAGCATTTACGAAGATAGGCCATACTCTGTGCCACACAAAGAGGGTCCCAATAAATTTAAAGGCATTCAAGTCACCATACAAAGTATGTTCTCTGACCACAATGGAATTTTATTAGAAAGCAATAGCAGAAAGATAACTAGAAGATTCCCAAACATTTGGAAACTAAATAACATATGTCTAAATAACCCAAGGATCATGGGAGATATCAAAAAGGAAATTAGAAAATATCTTGAGCTGGGCCTCCTGGGTGGCTCAGTCGGTTAAGTGTTTGAGTTGGGCTCAGGTCATGATCTCGCACCTTGGGAGTTTGAGCTGCACGTTGTGCATGCTCTGTGTTGACAGCTTAGAGCCTAGAGCCTGCTTCAAATTCTGTGTCTCCCTCTCACTCTCTTTGCCCGCGCTCCCCACGTCCCTGCTCAGGCTTTCTCTCTCACTCTCTAAAATAAACATATTTAAAAAATTAAAAAAAAAAAAGAAAATGTCTTGAAATGAATGAAAATGAAAATACAGCCCACAAAACCTTGTAGGATGCTGCTAAAACAGGAAATTTATAGGCTACATTCCCATTTTAGAAGTGAACAAAGGTCTCAAATCAATGACTTCAGCTTCCATCTCAAGGAACTAGGAAAAGAAGAGCAAATTGAACCCAAAGTAAGTGGAAGACAGGAAATAATAAATATCCGAGTAGAAATAAGTGAAATAGAAAACAGGAAAACAATAGAGAAAATCAGTGAGACCCAAAGCAAAGAAGATTAATAAAACTGATGATCCTGGAGCCAAATTGATTATGAAACAAAGGGAGAAAACACAAATTACCATTGTTAGGAATAAGAGGAGTAACATCACTACAGATTCTACAGATACCAGAAGGAGGGATAAAAAAGCAATATTATGAACACTTATAAGTTCAATAATTTAGATGAGATGGACAAATTCCTTGAAGACAAAAACTACCAAAACTCATTCAAGAAGAAACAGATAATCTGATGGTTTTGAATTTGTAACTAAAAATATTTCTGCAAAGAAAAAAAGAGATGTGAAAGCATAATCCTTTTAAAAAAAAAATACACAGGAATATGGGTAGCAGCTTCATGTGTAACAGTCAGTGATTGGAAACAAGGCAAATATAGATCAAAAGGTGAATAGGTAAACTATAGTATACACTATGGCTTGGAAAACAGAATGCTACTCAGAATAAGAATGAACCATTGATATATGCTCCAAAATGACGAATCTCAAAGTAATTATGTTGAGTGGAAAGAAGCCAGATAAAAAAAGAAACATGAGATATGATTTCATTTTATATGATTTTAGAAAATGCAAACTAATCTGTAGGGACAGAAGTCATATTAGTGGTTTCCTTGGCAAAACTTGTTGGGATGGGGACCAGGGAGCATGAGGCACATGAGGAAACTTTTGTAGGTGTTAGGTAGTTTATCTTACTTGTAGTAGTGGTATCATGGTCACATCAGCTTGAAGTGGTCAAATTGTACACTTTAAATATGTGCCACTTGTTGTATATTATACCTCAATGTAATTTTTCTTTTTTTTTTTTAATTTTTTTTTTCAACGTTTATTTATTTTTGGGACAGAGAGAGACAGAGCATGAACGGGGGAGGGGCAGAGAGAGAGGGAGACACAGAATCGGAAACAGGCTCCAGGCTCTGAGCCATCAGCCCAGAGCCTGACGCGGGGCTCAAACTCAGGGACCGCGAGATCGTGACCTGGCTGAAGTCGGACGCTCAACCGACTGCGCCACCCAGGCGCCCCAATTTTTCTTTTTTAAGAGCTCCACGTGTCTCAAATGGATTTGTGACAAGTTTGAAAATCAAGACAAAGTTGGGAATCATTGCTCCAGTCCCTCAGGTCCCTGGTTCCACCCTACAGAGATGACCTATTCTAGGCAGTTTCCTGTTCTGAAACTGGAACATTCTGGAAATATTATTTCCATATATTATATATATATATATATATAGGCATATGCAAACATATATTCCCTGTTTTAAATTCACAAATGGTGGGGTGCCTGGGTGGCTCAGTCGATGAAGCATCCAACTCTTAATTTAGGCTCAGGTCATGATCTCATGGTTCATGGGTTTGAGCCCCACATTGGGGTCCATGCTGGCAGTGTGGAGCCTGCTTGGGAGTCTCTCTCACTCTCTCTCTTTGTCCCTCCCCTGCTCATGCATGCTCTCTCTCACTGATTCTCTCTCAAAATAATTAATTAAAAAAAATTAAATTCACAAATGGTAGCATACTTTATACATTTTTTCTGTAGTTAACTTTTTCACTTACTATATCTTGGAGTTCATTCCATTGCAATAAATATGGAATGGTTTCACTTTTTAAAATATCTGTATGTGAATCTATTGGGTATAGATCCCAGTCATTGTGACTGCCTGAGATTGGTACTATATGCTTATTTTAAAACTTTTTGGAAACAAAGATGTAACTGGATAGTTGCTAGAATTAACTTTTCTTTTAGGCTTGCTTTTAAATCCTCATTTGCAAGCTACATAATATGACAAAACGCTTTCATGAAACTCTGAGTATAGAAGTTTTTTAGAAGGCCAAATTCACTATAAGGCAATATTTTTTTTAGCAGTAAAGTCTGTATATCTATGTGAAATGTTGACAAGTACTACATTTTGAAGGTTATTATGACATTCTTTTTGCTTTCCTTGTCCCCTCAATGTGAAATTTGGTGTTTGATTTATTCTTAATTCAACACAATTTCTTCAATTTTCTAATTCTTTTTTTGTCCTTTGATGGTTAATGCAGTGTTGGTCTTTAGGCTACAGCTATTCTGGAGTTGTATACTGTGTAAGCTACCTGTTATGAACTTCCATTTCCGGCGAAAAATTCTTGGGTTAAATTCTTTTTTTATTTAAAATTTTTTTAATGTTTATTTATTTTTGAGAGAGAGAGAGAGAGAGAGAGAGAGAGAGACAGAGACAGAGCATGAGCAGGGGAGGGGCAAAGAGAGAGGGAGACATAGAATCTGAAGCAGGCTCCAGGCTCTGAGCTGTTATTAGCACAGAGCCCAACATGACGCTTGAACTCATGAACTGCTAGATCATGACCTGAGCTGAAGTCAATGCTCAACCGACTGAGCCACCCAGGAGCCCCTCTTTGGCTAAATTCTTGCTGACTTTTTTTTTTTTTTAACAGCAGCAAGTGCAGCAAGTCAAATGGGTCAATACCAAAATAATTCTTGCTTTTAAAATTAATTGCATTCTTTAGTTGATAGACTATGTTTCAACAGGAAGACTACTTTCAAAGTCAATAGACCAATTTACTTGGGGGCCTCAATTTCCTAATGGCCATTTTATGTGTCCTTCACAGGTTTTCTATAATTTTCCATCTTAAAGAACAGGAATCTCAAATAGTCCATTATCCAAACTACCCATATTGTCATATAATCTATGTACTTACTAGATTTATTAGTGAGTATTGAGTCTTTTCATGACTAATGATATTCTGAACTTCTGGCTAGCATTTCATCAGATGTTGAATAAGTGCAGTTCATATCAGTTGAGTATTTGTTTTATATTCATTAGCCAATGAAGTCAGAGATTCATTGCAACTCCTCATAGGAAATTCACTCATTTTTCATTCGTTAAACTCTACATTCCTATAGTCTGGTGTCATAGGTTCTTGTTCACCTCTTTGTCCTTCATCTTATAGAATTTCAGGGGATTGTTCCTATCCTATGCAGTTATTGTTGCTTGTATTTATATGCCTGATGTCATGTTTCCAAGCAGTCTACAGTGGCACAAACACATGTTTTGAATGTCGTCTTTCTTGAAGCGGGGGGTCTTTTGGCTGAGAAGATAGTTTTACTGACTAGTAAATTATCTTTAAGACCCGTCTCCATCTCTGAGTACTTTTTAGTTTATTTAGGATCTGTTATTCTCTAACCTAGGGAAAGTGTGGAGAGCCTGATCCAAAAGCATTCCTATGCCCGCTCACCCATCCGTACCTATGGAGGAGAAGATGATGTGCTGGGGGATGAGGTTCAGACAACACAGAATCGAGGTAAGACAGCTTCTGGGCTACGTAACTGCTGGGAGCAAGAGCACCCAGAATGAGGAAGAGGCAGGTAGGTGATGAGACTCCTAGTCCTCAGCGTGCAGTCTGCCCCAAAAGTATTTCAGGAGTCTCTTGAGGAAGGGGCAGCCCTGGAGCCTGATTTTCATACAGGTCATTATTTTGCCTCTGAGTCTTTTTGTTCATTTGTTTAATTTTTTTAATGTTTATTTATTTTTGAGAGAGACAGACAGAGTGTGAGCGGGGGAGGGGCAGACAGCAAGGGAGACACAGCATCTGAAGCAGGCTCCAGGCTCTGAGCTGTCAACACAGAGCCGGACGCGGGGCTCGAACTCAAGAACTGCGAGATCAGGACCTGAGCCAAAGTCAGACGCTTAACCGTCTGAGCCACCCAGGGGCCCCTGCCTCTGAGTCTTAAGTGATTGTTCTGCCTGATGGTTTCCTGTGGTTTGTTTTCTAGTGAAAGGACACCCAGCCTCTGAGTCAGGGCTCAGGAGTTATTTGTCTGTGATCTACCACCAAAGAGCTATTAGACTTTGGGGGCAATCCTTTAGACTTACTGAACCTCAATTTTATCATCCGAAAATCAGGGACTATATCTGTTCCACTTATAAGAGGTTCCAGGAATATCTTACTAGGACCAATGACTAAAGTGGAAAACCCTTTTAAAAAGAAAATTTTCCTAGTGAAGGGCATTATGTAGAGGCAGTGGCCCCAGCGGTGACAGTAGGGGAGTACTGAAAAGTTCCTCTGTCCCAAAGACTCACAGAGGAGCCGTCTGCATCTGCGAGTCCAGAGAAGACTAACCAGACGGTGCTTCACGCTGAGCATAGGGATGTTTGTGTGAGCAGAGAGCCCTTTGTCATATTTTTATGTCCTTTCTATGGAATAGCGTAATCTGTCAAAACATAGGACACCTCTTATAACTAAATCCAAATGAACTACTGGTAATTATACAGCTGGCAAATCCAGCGTCAACTTTTGTTTAAATTTGTGGATGCTGTGATGTAGGAAAAATTATTCTTGGAACTAGAAAAAGAAGCTAGAAAAAGAAAAACATTCTTGTGGGTTTTCACAAGGCCTTTAGAAACCAAGTAGCTTTGTTGAGGCTCGTATGTCCAGCCTTCCTTATAGGGATGCTATAGAGTTTAGGACAGGTACCAGCTATTTGTAGCTCCTTTTGTTTTTTAAAAATTTTTTTAGTTTATTTTGAGAGAGAGAGAGTCAAAGAGAAAAGGAGAGAGAGAATCCCAAGCAGGTTCCACGCTGTCAGTGCAGAGCCCAACGTGGGGCTTGATGTCACAAACTGTGAGATCATGACCTGAGCCCAAATCAAGAGTTAGACACTTAACCAACTGAGCCACCCAGGTACCCTCTGAGCTCCTTCAAAGGGAATCCAGTTATTCCTTTCAGGCAGAATACTTGTATTTTGACCATTCTCCAGGAGCATACAGGCCATCTAATGAGTTAAGTCTTTTTCTGTTTAGTAAATTCTCTCTTCCTTATAGTATAAATGGTATCTTCTTATCTGGAAAGGTAGTTCTGGCTCATGGTTGATGTGTTTATCTTTTTAAATTGCAGATCTATTATATATTCTAATAAAATAAATCAATCTGCACAGATAATGTAATTCTTGATTTGCACACTGAAATAGAGTTTCTAGTCTGATGAGTGGTTTTTTGTTTCAGGGTCGGCCTTTACGACATCTGATAATTTGTCCCTCAGCTCCTGGGTCTCTTCTTCTTCCACTTTTCCTGGATTTCAGCATCCCCAGTCCCTCGCTGCTCTCGGCACCAGCACAGCATCCATAGCGACACCCATTCCTCACCCTATACAGGGCTCTTTGCCACCGTACAGCCGACTTGGGGTGCCTCTGACCCCGTCGGCCATTGCCGGCTCCATGCAGGGGAGCGGCCCGACATTCCCCTCCTTCCACATGCCCCGGTATCATCACTACTTTCAGCAGGGGCCTTATGCTGCTATCCAAGGACTGCGCCATTCCTCCGCGGTGATGACACCATTTGTATGACTCTTCTAAACCTAGGAGAATCCAGATCCAGAATGTGCAAATGGGTATGAAATGTGGGAGAGGGTGGGGTGGGTGGGATGTGGGGTGTGGAGCAGGGGCTCTCCAGGAGACATGGGACCTATTAAAGAGGAGAGCTGGACTCACAATAAAGCCTACTGCTGAGGGAATGCACCACAGACCAGGACTCATGTGTAGCTCGGAGAAAGCTCTTGGGTTCAAGAGAGAATCAGTGTCAAGTTCTTAGCCAGCCTAAGTCCTACAACCAATAGGATACTAACTTACCCAGAAAATTGAATAACGCAAGGCAGAAGAATCTGAAGGTGCATTATACCTAGCAGTTAAAAATGCTGTGTCAGCGCAGTAATGTATAAAATCAATGTGTAGAGGTTATCTTTCTGCTTTCCACAGGTTTAAAGAATCTTCAAAGAGGCAATATGTATAACATACCGACCATAATGCATAATGACTAACTTAAGTCCATTTCTCTCTGAGGAAAATGAGAGCCAACAGAGAAATATTTGTAGTGCTGAAGCTTAAGCATGTTTAGTTTTCCTTTGTATTAGTCTGCTGGGTAAAGGGCTGAGATAATGCTAACGCATCCTATTTTGTGGATGAATAGATGGTAATGACCTTACAAAGCTCTTTTTGTAACACTGAAGGGCCAGTATCTGACAAACTCTTTCTCAGTCTTGTCTTTTTCTTCCTAATTCTCTTTCTTGCAATGACTTGCCATTTACATAGAAAAAACCTATATACAATTTTGAAGCAAGAGGCTCTATGTGTTACATTACACAATTGAGGTTATATTTTTCTGGGCTGCATTCTAAGTGCACTGCTGACTCATTCACTGGGGAACACTTCTAAAGCCTCTACATGATGACACGGGAGGCTTTCTCTCAATCTGCAGTACCAAGATGGTTGCCCTGTCCTGAAAGGAATTTCTCTGCCATGGGTACCAAAGGCCCCTTTAGTTTTACTTCAGCTTTGGGAGACCTTATGGATGGTAAAACACACCGGGCCAAATTCTCATTTTTGGTAAATCTGCTTTGTTATTAGATTAGCTGTTACCACTGATTGACAAAGATTTATGAATGACCATTCTGAATGCCCGTATAGCCACCACTTAACCTATGTTCATGAAGCATTATGAGTCATACAAATGATTTGTCCTTCTTTCTTACTGTTCTGTTCAGTGACTCCGTTATCATTTTCCTAGTCCATTATATGAAATTGTATGTCAACTCAATGACTCTCTGACTGAAACACTGGCAGTGTTTATAAGTCAATCCAAAGTATTTATTCACTTTGAGTTCTTATTGTTTTCTTAAACCTTCCTTTAATGTTTAATAATTAACTATATTTTAATTATATATAATCTCTATATTTAGGGGGCAACATGTATCTAAGCATTTGAAGTCAGGGTAGTATTTGGCATTTTGCAACTTTAATAAAGTTTATAGTCCTTCAACTTTATAATGCTTTCTAGCTGTAAGATATAACCTGTCTTCTTTAGAAAACTCTCCACAACTCTATTTTATCCTAATTAAATTTTGTATCTACTTTGTTCTGACTGCAAAAGTATTAAATCTGTTAAAAGAGATGGGAAATATCACTGCTGAGAGTAGAGAGGGGGGTAAATGCAATATACTTATCAGAGTGCATGGGGTTTTATTTAGTTATTTTGTTAGGCTTTTTCATATCAAATGCCTTTCTTGGGCATTTCTAGTCTATGAAACAAGGCATAATGGCATAGCCTGTCTATGTGATGCCATTGTTGTTGGACTTTGCAATTGTTTTTCTCCACTGTGTCCCGTGGTTTACTTATGGAGAAGCATGGACTGTGCTCCCCAAGCATCTCAAAGTCCTATGGCAGACACTGTAGGCTAATTTCTAACTTCTTGCATGTTATGCTATAGTATCCACAGGTAGTTTGTTTTCAAACACAGCACAGATGTGCGTTTATTTAAAAAAAAAAAAACAGCTATAAGTAATGTTTAAGTATCCATAGAGCTTAGGATAGGGATTTGATACTTAATAGTTGGCCTGCTGCCAGTGCTCCATTTACTACACAGTACTGCTGCTTAAAGCAGGAGTAACAAAACTAGATGCTATTTAACATGATGCTACTCGATATTCTGGTAAATTACTGGTCTACTACAGTGAATCTGTATCTGAGTTTTCTTTTCAATGAGAATGAAAGCATCATTTTAATACTATTTAGACATTTTCCCCAACTGACATATCTTAAAGTAGGTTTGTTTTTGTAATATGGCTTTACTTCAGTATTTCCTGACTTCATAACTTTATTTGGTAATTATGCAATATAAAACTAAAAATAATTAGTGTGCTTAGAGAAAAGCAAAGACTGAGATACCAAAGCATGCTTTTGGGAAATAACACCTGAAATTCTAAATTGGATTTTTTTTAAAAGTATTTGGCATTATTTGAAAGAGGAAGAAAAAGCACAAGTGACATGGAACTTAACCTGTGATCAAAGTCACCCTAACCGTGAGAACCAAGGGTAGAAATTTACCCCAACCCCAGGGTCTTTCTAAACTATTCTGGTTGCTGATTCTTACTGAACTCCTCAGGTATTTAAGATTTTAAAGTCTAATTCTACCAAAAGTAATTGCAAGAACTAGATAGTTAGTGGGAAAGCCAATCGAATAATTAAGAGCATGAGTTGCAGACCATTTGGAATAAATGTAGGGTCCCCTCCTGCCCCCACCAGGTATATCACAGTATCAAAAAGCATGACTAATGTGCAGTGCTGCTACAAAGAGGCCCTTCCAGAACTGCTTTGTCTAACCTGAAGGAATTAATTTATAACTCCATAGGTTCTGCGTATGTGATTTGTTTTTAGAACACATCAATAATGCTGAGTAAGTTCAATTATTTCTTTTACTTAACAAGTCTTCCCCCTCCTTTGCCGACCCTTAGCGGTATGTAAGTAAAATCTCTCCATCTTGTGTCTAACATAATCACAAATTATTAGGTTATAAGGTCTGCATTAATGAATTTAGGTTGCACCGCTGGTTTGAGTTTATAACGAAGGTTTGTTGTTATTCCTAGCAGGTGGGCACAGAATGGGAGATATTAAGAAGATACTGAGAAAAACCCTGTGTCGGGCTATACTATAGAAGTTACATTAACTTCTGGGGTATTCCAAGGTCTCCCCCCTCCCTCACTCTCATCCACATCTCTGTCACTGTGCTTCTCTAGCCACAACATCTCCTGCCCCCCCATGCAAAAAAAATAAAAAGGACACCCTCCAAAAGGCCAAGAAAAAGAATTTTTAGAAGAAAAGATCACCATTCCCATACCTATGAATTTTTCAGAGAGATGTTGGGATATTTAATCCATTTCTGAATTTCATGTTAGCTTTTCAGGCATCTTGCTTATATTTAAGCTGAACCATATTGAGAAAAATGAGCTTCAAGAAGGACTTTACCACTCCATTAAATATGCAGTCAAGCTTAGCCATGACTCAGCAACTAAAGTTCAAAAAATTCAGTTATGTAATGTGCCAGGGTCACATGCTACAAGGAAAACAATATTTTTACTCAATCTTCCATTGACTAAGTAAGGAAACTGTTTTTGTTATTAAACATGTATGGAATTGATAATTATTAGAAACAAAACAATATTATACTGTAAATCTAGACTGGAAAGAAATAAAGCACTGGACAGAAAGATTTTCAGCTGGCTCCTTTAGGCAGCTTGGGTGGAGGATGGATTTTACATGTTTTTATATTATTTCAGAATGCAAGGATTTTATTTTAAACAGGCAAAGAGAAGGTTACAAATTCTTAAACGTTTAGAAAACCATAAAATAATTTCTTCACTACTATTCCATGCCAGTTATAAAATATTCTAACACTTATCTTTCTTTGGCATGCTTAAATATGCAAAGTTTCATTTATAAATATTGGTAGGCAAATAATCCATAAGTATTTTCTCACTCTTCTTTCTCTATCCCTTCCTCAATTCCAATCCCCTTCCCTGATAATAAGAAAATAAAAACATTGGTAAAATAATACATCTGGACAAAAAATACAGTTTGGTATTTTACTTCTGAGACATTAAAATACGTGTTTAGTTGTGGTTTTTTTCCTTATTTTCAGAAACCTAAAAAAACCCTTTTATTTCCTAGAGGATAAAATTGGATATAGCCTCTTTAGTAGACTCTATCACAGTTATATCGTTTGCTGTGTCCATTTGCTTTAATGAATTGCGTGAGAACAGTCACTGTAATGAAGTGTGTGTGTTGGGGGTGGGGGGAAGGGCATGGGAAATGTTTTATGAAAAAAGAAGTTATAAGCCTAATACTATGAAGTAACACCTAATGAAGTTCTTTTTAAGTGCAATATATTTATTTCTGCTAGAAATGTATTATCAACATTATGTAATATTTGAAGCATTACATGTTATTTGTAAACAGCTTAAAATTATATATTACCCAAAATTGTACAGAAGTACAAATGTGTGGATATTAATTTCTTTCATTAAAAATGGTGTGTTTTGATATATATGCACACATTTACACCTTTAATTATCTTACACACTTTGCTTTGTGACTTTTGGTTCTGTTTCCTCACCTTGAAAAACAACAAAAAAAAAGGATTAGGTAAGAGTAGGGGTCATAGCTGGCCACTCCCAGTCCAGACACAGCCAACTGGATTACTGTACAGGGTTTGGGTTTTGTCTTTAATTGTATTTGGAAGCCTTTAGAGAAAACAGCGCTCTTAAGTCCCCACTGGTTCCTATTCTCCTACACCTAGTCCCCTCACTCATTTACTCCACCTGATGAAATCTTAAAATTACGGGACTTTGCACCTCTCTGTATGGAATGATACTGAAGACTCCATAAAGCTTAAAGATCTACCTCTCATTCTAGCCATAAACTCTTGGATGTGCTGTAATGATATTACAGAAGGCAGGTTGATACAAAATAAGATTAGCCAAATTCAAAGTCTTAATCCTTCCACATGACATTTGAC